ATGATGTCCAAGAATTTTTAAAGGCTACTTCCAAGGAGCATTCCAGGRACTAAACTCATTACTAACAAACCACATTAATTTAAATGGCAGCACCTAAGTCATAAATCTTAATCCAGGTACATGAAATCATCTGTTAAAATCTGAGAAGTTTTAAAAGCCATCATTGAAGATGTTTTCCTTAATGCAGCACACAAGCCACATTCCAGGACTTGACATTAATATTCCCAAGGAAGAATATTAATGAGGAGTGTCTGCAGAGGGGGAACACACTGAAATTCTGAAAAATATTAAATGATAGACAGCAATTGAGGGAGGAGTGGGGAAAACAGCATGTTTAAAGTGAGTTAAATAAAAACGGATGCAATTATGAATAATTTCAAAACAGAAGAAGCTTACTCACTCCTTTTGGAAGATCATGCACATGGGGGACCTGCAGTCGAAGTCCAGGCACTCCTGAGCATCTGGGCTGAAACCTTGTTTGAGCAGCATTTCCAGGCACTCCCCATCCCCGCCRTACAACGCCGAATACACTGGGCTCACTTTGCCCTTGCCCTTGTCACAAATSCGGTCAGTGATTGGAATCAGCAACTCCAATATCCTGCAGATATTGAAAACCACCGTTTTTGGATTTTATACAATGATTAATTTTAAACACATGGTCATTTCTTCACAGGGTCGTTGCAACTTTGGAAGAAAATTGTGTGTTTTCACTCCTTTCACAACCTTATAATTCCATACACAGACCCCTGGCAAATATTGTGCTTTGGGATGGATTTGGGCTGGAAATAAGCAWTTTAAACCAAACCAGGGACAGCTACTTCCTATTTTCCAACAATTCTTTTTACACCGTCAGAACACCAATGAGCATTAAACTCCAACTTCCAGAAGTTTGGAAGCAAACTGGAAATGTGAATTGCAAATGAAATGAATAAGTAGTTCAGTGGAACAGAAAAATCATTCTGTTTACAGCTCACACCCCTGGCCACACCATATTAGTGACCAACACCAGTTCCTTTGCTGCTGGAACTTACTGGTGCTGCTTAAYGTTTGCCAGTGATGTATCATAATTKATATATTTAAGTGCTGTCACATGTGTGAATCATGGAGTTCCTGAGAGATCCTTCTCCTCAATGGTCTACTCCCAAAGCTTCCTTCCACTCTTGGCTCTCTGCTGTGAAACTGGCTTGTATCTCTGAAATTGGGCAAAGCTACAAATGCATCTCCAGAACAATTAAAGAAACTGTTTTGTGGCTTTGATTTTTGTGGYTGGTCCAGCTAATTCAGTAATTGCATATCATTATTTCTGCTACTTAAGAATATAAATCTAATTAACAGCTGCTCAAGTCATGTATAATGTATAACACTATCATTTATATTTGTAAATGAGAGAGTAATAGGGCCATTAATTGATACCTGGTTCACCTGTGGAAAACCCTCTGAACTCAGGATATGGATCAAAYCCAGGTTAGATGCTGAATTAAAAATCATAWAATMATAGAATATTTGGGGTTGCAAGGGATCTTAAAGGAACCCAGTTCYATCTGCTGCCATGGGCAARGACACCTTCCACTATCCCAGGGTGCTMCAAGCCCTGTCTAAGCTGTCCTTGGACACTCCCAGGRATGGGGSAGCCACAGCTTCTCTGGGCGACCTGTGCCAGGGCCTCCCCACCCTCACAAGGAAGAACTTCTTCCTAATATCCATCGTAAACCTACTCTCTGTCAGTGTGGAAGARACTACTAACAGACATTTAAAATATGAAAATAATTCAGATTTCTAAACTACAAATCAGTTTGAACACTCAATTCTTCTTCCTTTTAGGGCTGAACTTCCTCCTTTGGGGATCAGGTTTGTGTGACCAGAGCCTTCTGTCTGAATGCCTTTGCAACCACCTACTTTGCATGGCCCATCTCAGCTGCTGCATGAATGGGTAACTGCCAGTTATCCTCATTGCAGTAGAGGTTTGGGTCTGCCCCTGCTGTCAGCAGCAGYTCCACACAAGCCAGGTGTCCCTCCTGTGCAGCGATCAGCAGGGGAGTGGCTTTGTCCTTGGCCTGGCAGTTGACGTCTGCACCTGACTCAAAACAATACCAGAGGAATGCTCATCAGTCACTGTATCTCACAGGGTGGCTTCAAACTCAGCAACTTTTCTGCAACAATAAGGAAAKAAAACCTCTAAAATTTGAAATTAAGATGTGTGCAAGAGCAGAGTCAAAACTGCATTTAGTGAGARTTGTTGGAAGTGTTACAAGGGAAATAAAGGATTATGGCTACCATGGGACAGAAGCAGCTGCAGACTCTCCAGCTGGCCATACTGAGCAGCCACAAACAGAGGAGTAATTCCAAAGTCATCCCGACAGTCCTTAGTGGCCCCTTTCTCCAGGAGCATTTGCATTATCTCAGTGGAACCCTGAAATAAATAARTTTTATTCTCAACCAATAGGAAAGCGAGGAAATTATATGATCTGTTTTTTCTCACATGTTCCAAACAGAAATAAGTAAAACCACTATATATTCAATATCCTGAAGATGCAGGTAATGGTAAAAGAAATTAGACAAGTTCAGATTAATCCCTTTAGCTCATTTATGTGATAAACCCATTTAATCACCACATGTACGTGCTAGAACCATTCAGCCAACAAATTTCTAAGTACAAGCTTATGACTGCTAGGGTAGGTTAGGAAAAACTATCTGATAAAAATGTATTAAATAATAAATAACCCTCAGAATACACCAGTTACATAGAATTTATATTATGTGCTYACAGGTTACCTGAAAAGAAGCTTGGTGCAAAGAATTCCATCCAGACCAAGAATGAGAACCTTCAACATTTGCCCCATGTTGAAGCAGAAACTTRACAACCTCTGCATGTCTGTTTTCAACAGCTTCCATGGAACAGTAATAAAAAAAAAGAAAATTAAAAGCAACTCTTATTTTTTACTATTTTACTATTTACTATAAAAAAAAATTAAGTATTTGGATTTAAGAGCTCAAAATGTCTCACTGCCAACTTCCTTAAATAATCCTAATTCTTTTAAACTTGCCAATTATATACTTACCTGCCTTTTCTATTTAGTTCCCCAAAACACTGTTGGAGAATGGAAATGATGCCCAAAGTCCCCCAGACTTGGAAACAAAGGTAACATGGCACCCATAATGTGTGGGTACAGAGGTGAGTATATCAACAAACATATTTAATCAGATGATTTAGACCCTCAGGAGTCACCATAATGGGAGTTTTAAGCATTTCATTATGTCAAACATAAATCACAGAAAAAATGCTAAAATAATGGACCTTAACTGCCAAACTAAAAATGCCAAAAATATGTCTTTTGATATAAGAATTAGGGAGCAATTAGAAAAAAACCAAAAATACTAGAAACAGCCTCATACAACCTGCACCTCCTAAAGTTTGTCTGTGCTTAATGAAGAAAACCAGTTTGCTTTTACAATTTTGTTTCAAAACACTGTSTGAAACAGATTTTCCCATAAATAGAAGGCCATTTCCATACCTACTCCATTTCTCAGTCTAAAACCTGGCATTTAGGCTACAAAAAGATGGAACATGGCAGGCAGSGAAAGAACTCTGGTGAGTTTCAACTCAGAGAAACTTGAGTTTAAACTGGTTAGTTTAGACTCCTTGGGATTTGAAGAAAGCTTGTGTCACCTAGGAAGAGCGGGGTGGTGGCAGATTCGGTGGTGACATTGTCGAGGTCAGCCCCAGCTTCCAGGAGAACCCGGAGACATTCCACAGAGCCGTGCCGGGCCGAGAGGTGCAGAGCACACAGCCCTTCAAACGTCCTCGAGTGGATGTAATCATCAGCTGGAGCTGCAGAGGAGCATAATGAGGGGAAAAAAGGGATAGTTAGCAGTGAATTACAAAATACAATAATTTTAAGAAAATAACAAGAGTTATTTGACATGTGTGGCCTATGGAACGTCCATGAATGTGCTATTGTCACCTCAAAGCTCACTCATGAACCGCAATGYGCCAATTTCTCTACCACAGCTGTGAAACCACACAGAAAATCCCCAAACCAGAGTATGATAAATTTATGTCGATTTTCTTTTCTGCAACAGGGTAATTTAGCAGAAACCAGACTATTTCCCATTAGATTTTCCTTACCTGTATCGATGAGCAGCTTCAGGCACTCACTGGAATTATGYGCTGCTGCTTCATGGATGGGCAACCACCTCCTGTTGTCTGGGACATCGACGCTGTATCCCCGATTAATTAACTCCCTCAGTATTTCGACGTTTCCCTCTCTGGCTGCAAGGCCCACGGCCGAGCACCGGTCAGAATAGGCTTCYGTGAAATCCATCCCTTGTGTGGAACTCTGCAGGAGAAGAAAAGGGGTTAACAAAACTTAACAAAAGAGAGATATGTCTTGGTACAAGATAGATATGAGGTGGGTTTGTTTGTTTTGCAGAGGACTTGCTTTGGTTTGCAGGGAGATGGTGGGTTGGGGTGGGCTGGGGCAGGTGGTTTGTGGCTTTGGGGGGAGAGGGTTGTGGGGTTTGGGGGAAGGTGGTTGTTTTGGAGGTGGCTTTTGGGGAGGCAGTTGGGGGGTTTAAGAGGAGGTTGTGGAGTTGGAGGAGAGATGGTTGTTGATGGGGTTGAGGGGTGGYTCTGTGTGGGGTTTGGGGGCAGAGRTGGGAGATGGTTGGGAGATGGTTGTGGGGCTTGGGGCGCTGTGGTTGTTTGTGGGGATGCGGTCGTTTGTAGGACTGGGTGGGAAAAGCGGTTGTTTGTAGGATTGGATGTTAAAGACGGTTGCTGTGGGAGGTTGTTTGAGGGTTTGGGATGCAGTCGCTGGTGGGTTTCGGGAGCTCGATTGTGGGACTGGAGGACGCTGTCCGCGCCGATGAACGGCCCCGCGGCTGCCGTCACAGCGCCGCACCCCGCGCAGGCCCGCGGCCGCCCCACCGCCGCTCGGGGCCGCCGCCTTCCCCCGGGGCCGCCGCTCTCGCCCGGGGCCGCCGCTCGGGGCGAAGGCGGCGCCTYCAGCCAGGGCTGCCCCGCGGCTCTGCGCAGGCCCCGCCGGGCCGGGCCGCCATGTGGGTGTTCGGCTACGGCTCCCTCATCTGGAAGGTGGATTTCCCCTACCAGGAGAAGCTGGTGGGGCGCGTCCGGGGCTACAGCCGGCGCTTCTGGCAGGGCAGCACCGACCACCGCGGGGTGCCGGGCAAGGTGAGCCGGGCGCGGGGGGAGCGCGGCTGCTGCGGCGGGGCCCGGGCCCTGTTCACCGCCGGAGCCGCCCGCAGCGGCTGCAGAGAAACCCACGAACAGAARGCGCTTTAAAGAGGGTCAGAAATGTCCAGAGCTGTCATTTAGGGCGTTAAATACCGGCGGTGTCAGGCTGTGTGTGCACAGGGATTAAGAAAAGTTAGAACGGTTGATCTAAGTAACCCCTCCCAGCTGTATTTCGATTTATTTTACTCTCAGGTGAAAATCCATGGATTAGGAAATACTTGAAGTTCTAAAATTTTTTACAGTTTGGAAAAGGAGGTAAAAAAAAAACTAAACAAAAAACAGCAAGAAAAAGAAACTAAAATTTCAAACTGAGCAGTCTCAATGTCATGTGTTTTTAAGCCTCGGGGGTGAGGATAAAGTATATACCTGCACCCAGGTAACTTCACTGTAAACCTGRAATACAGCTTTAAAAGAGCAAAACTATCAGTATTATTTTTTAAAGCACAGCTTGCTGCGTCGAAGGTTTAATCAAGATTTAAATGGTACTCGTTAGAACTTCAGACACCATAAAATAACTTCCACAGAGCTCAAAGATAACACAGGTTAAGCCACCAATGACATCTGTTTAAAAACAGCAACGAGGAAAAAACAGTTCTTACAAATGTACAGCAAATTACATGCTGGCTGTATTTAAAAGTATTTTCAGAGGATTATTCCCAGCAGTMCAAACAGTAATTAATTCCTCTGATCAATAAGTATTTATAATTTGTTTCTTAATGTTTGTTTTGGATAGTTCCRGGCAATACAAGGACTCTGCAAACCAATAAACTAAATATCCCGCCCTTCCTTAGGCAAACAGATCCTTCTTCCTTAGGCAGGGCAGAKCCTTCACCTGAAGTTCTCCTCAGTTCTCCTCAGTACTTTCCTTGACATTAAATCAAATTCAATTTAAATGAAATTTAGTGAATTTAGGTTGCAGTTACAGGCATTCCAGACAGGAATAAGAAAGTTATTTTCCACTGCAGAATTACTCTAATCCATAATTCATAAAAATCCTTGTGACCCATTGTGAGTRCACAATTCAGAGAATTATCAATGGCTATGGAAAAAAACATTCCAAAAAGAACACCTAAGTTATGTTTGATGAATCATGGGAACAGACTCATTTCTCCTCAGGAAATAGGAATCATTTAGTGTTCTTGTAGCTTTGTTGCCTTTTTTTATCAGTCAGATCAAGAATAACTGGCTCATGCTGGGAGAGAACTAATGTGCTGCCAAAAGCAGAAATKTTAAACTGCAGATTTAGTTAACACAGGGTTTTACATTTTAAAGTTTTATACAACAAATTTCAACTATTTTATTTCCAGTATTTACGAACTGGCTTCTTACTTCTTCCTGTAAGAATTAACTTTCTGAGAAAAACAAACCATTTGGAAGATAACCCCTCTGCCCAGTGAGGCTCCAAGGGCTCCTTGAGGACAGTTTTACATTAATGAAACTCCAAATTTTCACTGTTACTGTATTGTTAATTAATTATCAGTGTTTTAAACAGGACTAGAATTGARTCTGGACAGCACATGTAAAGCAAGGACATTAAAACCCTCCCCATCTCTGACTGCCCTTAATTGAACTTTTGTGTCACAGACACCATCCAACCAGAATTTTACATTTTGTTTTCTAAAGTTTATCTTACACAGATCAAAAGCTGTTCTCAGAAAATATTTATACTGGATCTAGACCTTACTGGAATTGTGTTGGATTAGTTCTCTGAGCCTTTCATTCCTGTTCCTTGGGGTATTTTTCTTGTTTTGTTTTGGTTTTGCTCATGATTTAGGGCAAAAGCTTCTGACTAAATGRTTTCTTCTTTTAATTTTAGCCTGGAAGAGTTGTGACCCTGGTTGAAGATGCTGAGGTACAGTACTGCTGTACAGAATGTCCTGTTGCATTCCCAGTCCCTATTAATTTTTTCTTCTCTGTGAGCAAATAACTGTTATCTTTAGGGAAAAGTTCCCTCAGTGTTTCCCAGAGTTACACCAACGGCTCTTGGTTGTTTCAAATAATCAACATTGAATTATACAAATCATTGCTTTAATTTCCGTTTCACAGGGTGTTAACATGATTGTGAAAGCACCTCAGCACACTACACCAATTCAGGCATGTAACAGCTGTAGGTGACACTCAGCTAATGAAACTGTCCCTAAACAGAAGGGACCTGATCAAAATTCCTTCAAATCAAACATTAATTAAATTGGTACTTTTCAGATATAAATTTTTTTTAAGTCAGGGAGAACCTTTGTGTTCTTCCTGCCAGCTCCTTAGTGGTCTGTACTGAGGCTGTTTACTACTCCAAATATTTACAAAACAAGAAAATGCTGTCAGAAAAAAAACTTAGCAAGGAAGAGGATGATCAATTTGCATAATCACTGTTTTTACTGCAATTGTCTGAATAAAGCAGCCCTTTTATTTTGGGACTCTRTGCAGAATACAGCTACAGGAAGATGGCAAAAGGGAAAAAAATAAGTTGACTTAAAGTTTTGCCTGAATACAGTGACATAATTTTAACCAATTCTCCTGTGCCAGGGGTGCGTGTGGGGCGTTGCCTACAGATTACCAGCTGGGAAGGAAGGAGAAGTGAAGGCCTACCTGGATTTCCGGGAGAAGGGAGGCTACAGGACCACCACAGTCATCTTCTACCCGAAGGACACGTCGGTGCAGCCCTTCGATGTGCTGCTGTACATCGGCACCCGTGACAATCCCAACTACCTGGGCCCCGCGCCGCTCGAGGACATCGCGCGCCAGATCCTGGGCGCCACCGGGCCTAGTGGCAGGAACACGGAATACCTGTTTGAGCTCGCCAACTCCATCAGAAACCTCGTGCCCGAAGACGTGGATGAACACCTCTTCTCCTTRGAGACACTGGTCAAGGAACTCTTGAACAAGCACCAAAATCTCAACTATCTATAAAGTAACCTCATGCTTTTAATGAGCTGGTTCTGTCTTCGGAGAAGAGGTTTTGTTGGCCGTGTGTGTGACAGAAGGAATGTTTYTCTGTACTGTGCTATCTTAATTAATACTGCCTATCTTAATTAATGCTGCATTGARAATAGGAGGTGGTCATTTAAAACAAAATCACCAAAATAATTTTTCAGGAGTCCAGAGAAAGGGGAGCAGGGAAAGTATTTTAGATTTAAATTTGCTATCTTAGCTTTTCATCCAAAGACTACACCTCAAGACAACCACTTAAGCTTCTCTTTATGTTAAAAGRTTTTTATTATTTCAGGTTTAGAATTATTTTTTAGGTCAAAATCAGCATGCAGAGACAATGTCCCATAGATTTAAGTTTGTTCTGATTTCAAATCACAGCRCAACTAAAGAGAGGAATTTTAAGTGGTTGTTCTGCATTGTGTAGTAGAACATCTAAATCAACATTCAGTTATCTGAAAAGAAGTTAATGACACTGAATTATTTATCCTTTATATGTTAACTTACCTTTAAATGCAGAGGATAAACCATTTTATTGTSAAGGAAATGATTCCTTCCCTTGGCTGTTGATGCCAAGCCCTGAAAACCAAAGCTCTGGGCACTCTTGACTCCAACGAGCCATAACCTATCAGTGCCTCATTTTAATTTTTAAGCCTCATATAAAGAATAACCCCAAAATAATAAACTAAGAGCATGACTATAAGTCACAGTGCAGCATGAACAGAAACTCTCATCTCTGTTACTTTAGATCCTGTTGTGGCCCCCAGCAAAAATCCCAGCTCCAAGGATAGACTTTAAGCCTATTTCAGGGATCCACCAAGAGAAGGTAATTAAAGAAGGAACCCTCTTTCCAGTAACCTTAGGGGTGTGTGTGAATATCCCAGGAGGGTTGGGAAGTCCCCAGTTCAGGCCTGTAGGYTTCCTGATGCAATCCATCAGCACATGGAGTTTCTGTCCCAACATAGATTTGTCTCACTCCTCAAAACTTACTAACTTTTAACAAAATATATTTTTATATTCAGTATAAAAGGTCCTATTTCAAACATCACGTAATGTCCTGTTTTCYCATCCAGGGAATGTGTAAGTGTTCAGTAGCAGCCTGGAAGCCTGGATTCTGCATCAGTAATTGCAAAAAAAAATATGTTTCCCCTAAAAAGGTCAATCCTTTCTCTTTRCATCTTCCTGGTTTATATTTGTAAAGGTGAAAATGTGCAGCGGCACTCTCTGCTTTCTTGAAAATTCTTTAGATTTAAAAATCTTTTCCTTAAAAACTTACCCTTGTTCTTTAAAACAGGGCAGGGGATGCTTGTGCTCAGTAATGATCCAGAACCATCAGGGCTGATTCCYTCTTTAAAATGCTAATTATTTATGTACTGTGATGCTGTGTAGCTCCACATTCTCTATCTTTGATTGTCTCCAAGGCTTTGTTGGTTCATTTGCTTTCCAAATCCATAAAACATTGCAATAACACAAGTTTCAGTGTGTGTGTGTGTGTTTACAACTTCAGTGCAATAAAAATGCATCACTGATTACTGGGGTTGGAATTCTCCAGAAATGTTGTTTAAAGTGTGTCCATGTGACATCAAGGTGTGTGTTCATTGCACCTTGTTATAAAATTGTTGTTGGGACTGAGAAGACAACACATAGGGGCTGCTATAAACTGTGTCACATAACGAATTAACTAAAGTTTGGGAAATATAAAAATACATATATTCGTTCTTGCAGTGTGGGATTGAAGCCACTGCTCTGCCTCCAGCTTTGGTCACCACCAAAACCTTCATAGATCCATTACCTAAAAAAATTTAGGCCATTTAGGCTTTTTTTTTTTTTCTTCTGACTGGTTGAACTCAATCTGTAGGCTTTTTAGGTCTGTAGGCTTCACTACGCAACCATGCACACAACGCTGCTGCTAAAGTTGTTCCCAGACAGTGTTTGGGGAAACAGCCACATCCATGACTATTAACAGCAGATAATGCAGAGAGGAGAGAAATCCAAACTTAACAGCCATGATTTGCAAGGTATTTTCCAACCTGAATGATTCTATGGCTCTGCTATTAGTGGATGCTCTGTATCGTGGCAAATTAATGTCCTGTCTTTCCTTCTTCCAACTATCTGCTCCATGGTTCCCATGGATAAGATGGGACTGGCCTAACCTGGTCTGATGTGGGGACTGCTGGACACCTCGGGTACCCAGGTGTATATATACACACACATATATAAACAGGTGTATAGAGAAACACACACAGAGGGAGCCCTTAGAGCRCTTTTTTACACTCGTAACCTCGTACCTGTTGGTTGTGTTTAACCCGTAGTGCAGCCACGAATGACCACAGTTAATTACTCATACCCCATTGTCCCCACACTCATCCCCTCATCCCCTCCTCTCACTCTGCCCCCACTTACCGCTCTCACTTCCCACCGCACCCCCTCACTCGCCTCTCTCCCTCATTCCTTCACTCCCTCACACTCCTCACTCCCTCACACTCCTCACTCCCTCCCACACGCACTCATTTCCCTCACACTCCTCATTCAGATCCCTCACTCCCTCATACTTCTCCCACACTCGCTTTCTCGCACTTCTCACTCCCACTCCTCATTCCCTCCCTCCCCGTACTCACACTGCTCACTCACTCACTCACTCACTCACTCACTCACTCACTCACTCACTCACTCACTCACTCACTCACTCACTCACTCACTCACTCACAGTGCTCACACACACACACACACACACACACACACATCACCCCCTCACCCGTGTCCCTGGCCCGCCCGGCCCCTCACCTGTGGCGGCGGGCGCTGCCCCGGATGCCGCTGCCCGCCTTGGGCGCTGCCCCGGTTGTTGATCGCGGCTGCCGGAAGCCGACGTGGCGGCGGCGCGGCGCGGCCTCGGCGGAGCCGCCGGCCGGCATGAGGGGCTGCGG